ACACTCACCTCAGTCACCAAAACTGTGTTCTAAACCCCTGACCTCAGTCCCCCCTAAAACCGTGTTCAAAAACTCACCTCAGTCACCAAAACTGTGTTCTAAAACACTCACCTCCCGTCAAACCCACACTGTGTTTTAACACTGACCTCAGTCCCTACACTGTGTTTTTTAACACTTTACCTCAGGAACCCACACTGGGGGTTTTTAAAAACTGACCTCAGTCACCTACACGTGTTTTAACACTGACCTCAGTCACCTACACTGTTTTCTAACACGACCTCAGTCAAACCCACACTGTGTTCAAACACTGACCTAGCCCCCCTACACTTGGGTTTAAAAAAATTACCTCAGTCAAACCCACACTGTGTTCTAACACTTACCTCAGTCACCTAAAACTTGTTTTTTAAAAACTGACCTCAGTCACCTACACGTTTTTTCCCAACACTGACCTCATCCACCACACTGTGTTCTAAACCCGACCTCAGGGCACCTACACTGTGTTTTTAACAGTCCCCCTTTAGTAAAACCCACACTTTTTTCTAAAACTGACCTCAAAATCACCTAAAAACTGTGTTTTTAAACCTCACCCCATCACCCCACACTGTGTTTTTAACATCACCCAGCCCCCTACACTGTGGGTTTTAACACTGACCTCATCACCCCAAAACTGTGTTCTAACAAATCACCTCTCCCCCCTAAAAACTGTTTCAAAAACTCAATACAGTCCCCCCTACACTGTGTTCTAACACTGACCTCATCACCTAAAACCCCGTGTTTTAACACTTTACCCCCCCGTCCCCCCTACACTGTGTTCTTTAAAACTCACCCCCCCCCTCACCCTACACTTTTGGTTTTTAACACTGACCTCAGTCCCCCTACACTGTGTCTAACACTGACCTCAGTCACCTACACTTGGGTTTTAAACTGACCTCGTCACCTACACTGTGTTCTAACACCACCTCAGTCACCAAAACTGTGTTTTTAACACTGACCTCAGTCCCCGTACACTGTGTTTTTAACACTCAACCCAGTCACCTACACGGTTTTTAACATCACCTCAGTAAACCCACACTGTGTTTTTAAAAACCCCACCTTTAATCACCTACACTTGTTTCAAAAACTCACCTTTAGTCACCCCACACTGTGTTCTAACACTCCCCCTCAGTCACCTACAAATGTGTTTTAACACTCACCCCCAGTTCTAACACTGACCTCAGTCACCTACACTGTGTTCTAACACTGACCTCAGTCACCTACACTGTTTTCCCTAACACTGACCTCATCACCTACACTGTGTTCTAACACTGACCCAGTCCCTAACTTGTTCTAAACTCCCTCGTCCCTACACTGTTTCTAACACTACCCCACACCTACACTTTTTCAAACCCACCCCAGCACCTACACTTTTTCTAACACGACCTCATCACCTACACTGTGTTCTAACACCCACCCCAGTCCCCTACACGGGGTTTCAAACCCCCACCCATCCCCTACACTGTTTTCTAAATAACCTCATCACCTACATTTGGGGTTCAAAAACACTCACCCGTCACCTACACTGGTTCAAACACCCCTCATCACCTTCCGGGGCTAACACTACCCAGTCACCTACACTTTTTCTAACACTCCTCAGTCCCCTACATTGGTTTAACACTACCCTTCATCCCAAACCGGTTTTTCTAACATCACCTCACACCTACACGGGTTCAAACCCCAACCCAGTCACTCCTGTGTTCTAAACCACCTCAGCACCTACACTGTTTCTAACACTGACCCAGTCACCACACGGGTTTCTAACATCACCTCTCACCAAAACCCTTTTAAAACACGACCCATCACCTCCCTGTTTCTAACACCACCCCCAGCCCTCACTGTGTTCTAACATCACCTCAGTCACCACACTTTTTTCTAACACTACCTCATCACCTACACTGTTTTCTAACACTCACCCAGTCACCTACACGGTTTCTAACCAACCCATCACCTACACGGTTTTTCAAAACCCCACCTCTCCCTACACTTTGTTCTAACCTGCCCTCAGCCACCTACACTGTTTTCTAACACTCACCCACCCTACACTTTTTCTAACACACCTCAGTCACCTACACTGTGTTCTAACACCCCACCTCTCACCTACACTTTTTTCTAACACTACCTAAACACCACACTTTTCAACACTCCCCTCAGCCCTCACGTGTTCTAACCTGACCTCATCCCTACACGTGTTCTAACCTCCCCCAAACCCTACACTGGTTCAACACACTCGCCCACACTGTTTCAAAACCCACCTCAAAACCTAACTTTTCAAACACTCCTCGTCACCTACACTTTTTTCAAACTCCCCTTTTACCACCTGTTTCAAACATTGACCCTTCACCTACACTTTTCCCTAACACCCCCTCATTAACCACATTTGTTAAAACACTGACCTCACCCCCTACCTGTGCCCCAAAAAAACTGCCTCAGGCACCTAACTTTTCTAACACTAACCTCATCCCTAACTTTTCTAACCCCACCTCAGTCACTACATGTTTCAACCTGACCTCATCACCTACACGTGTTCTAACACTGACCTCATCCCTACACTTTTCTAACACTGACCTCAACTCACGTGTTCTAACATTTCCTCACCCTACACGTTTCTAA